TTTACTGATTTTATGACTCTAAATTCTAAACTATTACAACGGACGCTATTATAACAGTACATTACCTAACAGCATAGGAATCATATAATCAATAACAACATATCTTTCATTTGCATAAAAATAAAGACGGGATCTTGGGCACGAGTCTTTCACCAGGAACAGCTGTTTTCTAGGAGTTATTTTGTAAGAGTGTTAACAATAAACAAATGGATGGTGCTGCCACCTAGCAAAGGTCAATAGTACTAACATTTAAAGTTTCCAGATGCATAGCGCTAGTAGTATTGTTTACAAAAAATAAAATGTCTCGCGTTACAAAGATGTAACCAGTGTTGCCGTTTTGCGCGTAATTACGCTTTTTGCGCGGATTTTGGGGGGCTGCGCGGATTTTTGTGCGGATTAGGCTCGTGAGCGGATTTTGCGCGGATTTCACCCAATTGTAAAGTATTTTAAAATATATGGGAATTTCAACGGCAAATCGGGACACTTTGTACTAGTGACTCAAGAGGAGCACTTACTGTATATGAACTAAGGATTATATTATAGTGCATTCAAGAATGATCGATGATGTTTTTTTTGTGTACATTTATTGTTCTCTTCACTCCCTTTACTTCTACGTCTACGTCTCTAGGTTGTCGTTGTCACTTCTAGAGATTCAGTCGTTTTCTAGGGAATAGGGATATTTTACTACTCGTTCTAGTGATATTCCTCTAAACGTTGGTTTGTGGAAACACTGCTAAAGCCCCCCACACACTACCAGACCAGACCTCCAGACCAGACCGTCTGGCTGCAGCCAGACCGTCTTGGACGGCTCTACACACTCCCAGACCAGACGGTCTAACATTCGTAATTGAGAGACCGTGGTGAGAACTCCAACAAATGGATGAAGACTGTCACGATGGTCGGCCGTCTGACAGACAGCGCTACACACTCACAGACCAGACAAAAATAGTGGTGGGGGAACCTCAGACCGTCTGTGGTCTGAGGGTTCGACCATCAGACACGCAGACCGTCTGGTCCGAGAAAATCGGTCTGCAGACAGCCCCACACACGATAAGACAAGTGCCAGACGCCAGACCAGACGGTCTGGTCTGTAGGTCTGGTCTGGTAGTGTGTGGGGGGCTTAACTTTACCAAACAGGCAAACAAAACAAAGTACCAACCAAACCAACAGAAACAAAACAAACTATCCAACTTTATAATATTTGATGCTATTACAATTAATGTATTAGGTTAGTTTTGAAAAGAATTGACATACAATTAATGCACTTTCTTTCTCAAAGGTATCATCGTCCATCAGGCTAAGGCTAGTTTGAAAACAAAAAAGTAATAGGTCTATTTTTTATTTGTGGTTTAGGTTTTGTGTGCATTTTGTTTTCCAATTTCGTTTGTTTGTATGGTTCACAGATAAGAGAAAACCAACAACTCCTGTCTTAATTTATTGATACCTCTAACCCCATATTTTAGGAGATATAATATTGCATGTTATTGATTTCTAAAATTGTTAACTGCTATAGGTAAAGTTTGTTCAGAACAATAAGTATAGTTTAATTGAACATATAATTTTTAAATTTTCGTATTAATGCAATAGCATTTTATTTTTTCACTGAATATTTTTTTTGTATCTGTTATTGAAAGCAAATACATAGTACGGTAAGTGTAAACATCCTGTAACATATTTTGAGTGTAACATTTCGTTATAGGTGAAAAAATTAATGGAAAATTTGTTTTGTAGCACTATATTATTAGACTCAGGTTAATTTACAGAGTGCGCGGATTGTGCACGTATTTTTAACGTATTGTGCGCGGATTAGAGAGGAAAAAGCGGGATTTTTATGCTTGTGAGGACGGATTTCTTCCGGAGCTGTGTGGCAACACTGGATGTAACACCGTGCAGCAAAAAAGTCAAAAAGTCCGTTACATAAATGTAACACTGTGCTTGAAAGAGTTAAATTTGTATTCAGCCTTTTTATCAAAATTGTTGTAGTTGATGTGAGCCACCTACAAATTGTGCTGATCTTACTAAATTCTGTCACTGTCGCATACACAAACTTTTTTACAAAGACCAAGTCAACCCAACCTTAGGAAATGACGGTACTTTCCTGTTAAAGGGAACATTCATTATTATCGATGATTTATTTTCGATATATTGATATTTTTGTTTTCCATCCGATATATTGATACTGTAGTAACAAATTGAATCATATCAGCTGACAAGTACGATATAGGATAGAGTAAATAAACATTGTTCAGTATCAACAAACAATTAAAAAAATATTACATTGAAATGAAACTGTTCTAAACTAACCTAACCAACCAAACTTGCTGTAATATTTCCAAATTCCGTTTGATAGCCTATTCCCCATATGCATTTTCTATTATCAAATGGAATTTTGAAACGGTAACTTAGCCTATACCGCAAGTTTGGTTAGTTATATTCGGTTAGTTTAGAATAGTTTCATGATGGTGAGCTATAACAACTGTTATGACCCATCAACCTTGTCAGCATCCAAAAATAAGGTATAAAATAGAAATTCATACACTTGCGCATTCTGTGACTGGCTCACACAACAGCGTTCTTTTTAAAGAATACATAAAGCATACATAGATGGGATGTTTAAAAGACTACAAGATCGCGCCTACACTCATCTCCATTCATTATACTTGGCTTAAAATACGTACCCTTGTACAGTCGCCATTTCAGTTTAAGATTAAAGTACCGGCATAGACTAACCAACACAAGTAGACTTCTCATCCCATTGTAAATTTTGAAGCTCGTATTTCATGTCTAGTTCATGTACGCCACACTGGGCGCTAGTGTCGACGAAATTTTGTTTCTATTATTTTAGGGTTAATTTCTTGATTTGTGCTTTACTGTTTGGTTATATAACTAGGGGACAAGTTATTGTTTATGATTAGATCGTATTATTTGGTTAAACGAGGTTTTAAATGGCTGTAATAACGGGAAACAAATTGTAAACAAAACACGACATCTGCAGAAAACCGTACAGAACTAACAATAAAATTGGCTTCAGCTGTTCCATAAGGATGATAAATCTACTAAGGGAGTATGTTTTGTATGTTTTATCTATGGTACCGGTATATATTTTTGTAAAATTTAAGCCCAGTCGGTTCAGTGACTTCAGTCAGTAGTTTTTGCGCCTATTAGTAATACACGTGCAAACAGACATCATGGTGGAAGAAAACCATTAGATTTTTATATACTAGTGTAGAGTAGATGAACGTTGTAGCTGAATAGCAGAGAATAGAGTTGGCTGAAAAATTGCAGGAGGCGGGAACTTTAAAACTTCTGGTAAATAATCAAACAAACCCAAGTCAAACCATCATCAAACATAACCTCAATCTTCGAATACCAATACGTAAGTTTACTATTCACTATTCAGGCCTAGCAGTGATTTAACTTAGTATAAACAATACAAAAAATTGCTAAATAATTTATTGGCTTTTTAATAGTCAGCTACTATAAACTATGTTTTGAGTTTCTGATTGAGTGAAAACTACATAATCGTCATAGCCTTATCAAGAGTTTGATTTAGCCCTATCTTCATTCAGCCAAAACACAAGTCAAAAGAAGGTAACTTAAGGTTACTATATTAGACACTTATGGGTAAACTAGTTCCTAGCCCAACAATGGTGAACGTTTTATTTTCATAGCTTTACGAATACAATACTCCTAAATTTAAATTTGGACCTAGGTACCAATATGTAAGTGAATCGGAGATGGCAATTCGTTACAAGAGGCCTAGTTTACACAAATCCAGTCGAAGAAGGTGAATCATACATTTTCCAAGTTGATCCCGGAAACTCTGGTAACTTACTGGTGGAAGAAAATTAGGAGAGTTAATTTGATATGCTTGCAATATTACTACATACTAAACTTACAGTAGGCTGTAATTACCCTTAACACACAACACCCACCCTAATACACAAACTTAGGCTAATTCAAAATTGGAGGCCGAGCAAAAATAAATTTCAATTATCAAGAGTTTTGGATCACCATGAGGTTTGATTCATCGGGTTAACCATATTACTGTTCGATACAAAGAGTTCATTTTTTAAATATGTTACTTTACAGAATTATTCTTAAATACAGTAGGTATGCTATTATTTATCATTTATAAATAATACTAAAACAGTTTAACGGAATTACATAACGGTAGGGCCTACAACTAAACAGCTTATAAATATTTTAGTTATGTAGTTACAAACAAATTGTTATTTTTGTTTATTTTTTCCTATACCCTAAGTTAGATTCTTGTGTCATCAAATTACTAAAAGACAAACTACTGGTGCTAACATTATGTAGGTTAACATTATATAGTTTCCTGTTTTGACAGGAAGAAATCCCATCCTTCAAATTATAGAATATTTTGCTGACGAAACTTTGAATTACTGCGAGCTACTAATCCCTCTGATTGGACTTCAAGATACCAAGTGTAACAAAATGAATGGTAAACTTTGAAATATTAACAAACTCTATGGACTGAGCTTTTATTTTGAATTAGGTTTATAGAATGAGTTTTGATTTATCGAGTGTGAATTACCAAGTGAATAATGTAGTACCGGTACTATCGTTTCCACTGGGACTCGCCCTTCATTCCATTATTTGTCGGTGCATTTAGGCTGTGAAACTTAAAGTATCATTTCTAGCTTGCTCTTGACATATTTAAAGCAAACTCTTTGCTAGCATACTCAGGTGAGATTGACTTTGTTCTGTCTAGGGCAATGTAGTCCAAAGGGATTTTATAAAATATCTTTAATTAAGTTTGAACCACATTTAATGCTTTAGGTAAGCTAAAAAAATATGTTCTGCACTTTAACTACTTACCCTCAACAAAATGTTTTTGTATTAGCTGGACTAAATTTAACATGCTGACCAAACTCTCAAATTAATAAGATTTTGAGATCACTTTTCATAGTCTCTATCAAAGTATTTAATTCCCATCTTACCAACAAGTAATTATTTTTGTTGGATTCTAGGAAACTATGAATGCATCATCGAGAAACATTGAAATTAAAGCAAAAGTGAGAAATGTTGAGGATCTGATCGCCAAGGCAAAGCAGTTGAGTGCCAGTGAAGGCACTATCCTTAACCAACATGACATCTTCTTCCACACCACAAACCCTCTTAACCGTCTTAAACTCAGAGAAGAGGTAAGTCTGTTTTAAACCTAATTATGGCTGTTCGTCCAGTAGTGATGTGTCTAAGGCTATTTGCACACACACCGATTTTGGACGGTCGGTAATAAGTCGGTCGATATTTTATCGGTTCATGTTACTTGTACACATACCGGATTTTTAACAGGAAAACGATTAGTCTTTGTTGTTGTGTCGAGGACTGGACGAGATTATTGAATAGGTACATAATCCTAAAAGTGTTGTTGCTATGTGGTTTTTGTATCAACGTTTTAAGCTCCGTAGGATTAAACGTATATTCTAGATTTATCCAATTAATCAAAGCAGAGAAAAAAACGGGAACATTCCACACACTTTTTGAAGAACCAACTAAGGCTTGATAGCAGTAAAATTTTAAACTGTATCAGAATGTCAATAGCATCCTTATCTATAAAGTCACCCATTTAAAATGTTATAAACATGCACTACCAAAACAAATTCAAAATGTCAGAAGAGCAGTCACCTAAAATGGATAATGGTGTAGTGAGAACTGCCGATACGATCGGTAAAAAATCGCTGAGTGTGCAAGCTTTTATTTAGTTACATACACCACTGCGTCGCCGGCACATCCCCGCCATCGGCGGTATGCAGTGGCAGTGGCCGGCTGCTCATTGGCATTTTACCGGCGCCGATCAGCGGTCGGCAAGTGTGCAAGGTCCCGTTCCCGGCTGTGGTTCACCATTGGAATTTGGACGGTCGGTAAAAAATCGGTCATCCAAAATCGGTGTGAGTGCAACGATCCTTATTTGTGGCTTAAAAATAGGTTGGTCAGGCCTATTTACAAACTTGCAGTCTAATTTCAGTATTTTGTGACTTAAATGTGTTTAAATATGATTGCAATATTTATAAATTGGAAGCAGGTACTGGCATTGTCAAGTATGGGTAGGATGTTTTCCTTTAAACATTTTCCCTCCTAACAAGAATAAAAGTTAGATAGGTAGTCTTTACTTTGATCATCCATAGGCTTTTAATAAATGATCTCGGACAAAGAAACAGCTGATATTTTTAGTAACACAGTCACTTTACATAAGGAATTAATATCATTTCTGCCGTACTCGTAATCTAATTATATTTTACTTGAAATACACCTCAAGCCTGGTTTACATCCTTTCATTTTGTTTGCGCTCACCTTTTGATGTGGGCAGATAAATGTGTGAATGTGGACCACTGATTGGAACAAATCTGAGAACTGTGCACATGCGCAGTGGGTGTGCTATGACATATGAGGTATGAGCAAAAGCATCAAATGTCTGCAACAACCGCACACAAGTTGAAACGTGTGGATGCTCTTTTGAAATGTGCACAAATCTGTGTTCACATTGTCAGCTATTTTACTTGCAAAGAAGTCCGTCTGACGTTTCTTCAGTGCATGTAAGAGCTGTTGATTATATGGTGGATACTCGTCACACAGACTTTCTCACAGAATCAACTGAACTTAAGAGAAATTTTCTGTGTTTGTATCTGGTGAAGTCAAAAGAATATGGTGAGCGTGATCATAAAAATTTGGCCTATGACATAATATATAGGACCTAAAAGTACAAAGAGAAATCAAGTGGCTACAAGAGACACGGTAGGCTAAATACAGTACACTCCCTCTTATCTGGATACCTTTTAACCAGAAATCAGTTTAACTGGACAGGATTGGCTGGAAGTGTAAGGTACTGAAACAAATTTTCTCATGGGAAAGATTTAAGACCAGTGATCACATGACTAGTTTTACTATTTTTATGTAATAATCATGTTTGACTTATATAGTCACATTAGACGTTCCTATTTTAACAAGTTTTAGGAGACGTTGGTTTATCCGGAAAACCTGCTAACCAGACTGGCCTCGGTCCCAAGGAGTCCGGATAAGAGGATTTTTTTTGTTTAGGAAAATTAACTCAATCAGGACTGTTAAAACTCTTAAATTCAAGAAGTCGCGTAGGTGCCGGAGGACAATAAATACAAACTAGTGCACCTGTTGCTCGAATTCGAGCAATTGCAAAGTATTACAGGCGTATTTTCAAAACGAATAACAGTCATAATTTCCGATGACTTAAAAAGAGTCAACTCAAAGATAATGTAATCAATTACTCCACTCCAGTTATCGAAACTGAAAACGAATGTATCATGTATTTACTATGAACAGCTGTATTAGTAAGCAACTAATACAAATGATTCATCCACAAAATCTTTTCTTCATAAGAAATACATTGGGATTTTGATGACCTGTGGGGCAAAGTCCGAGGACTTATTAGGAATTGGTGAAAGGGTGCGTGTTGTAAAAACTGGTCCATTATTAACGGAGGAGTAGTGTTTCATAGAAATTGCCTTCACGTATTATATATAAGGATACTCCTCTTGGAGACATTGGACAAATGAATGACTTTTTTCCAATTTGGCTTATCAGATGTGAGGCTAGAAATTGTGCATGTGGACAGTCTCGGGATGCACACATCAGGTGTCATACGCATTTGAATTCAAACAAACGAGCGCATGTATACTGGCTTTAATTGCATCCCAATATTATAAAAGTATCTTTATATTATTATCTGTCATATGGCCGGTGTTGCTGATGCTTGTAGTGCTGCATGTAGCATAGACTTGTACCTTTAACTATTAATAGAACTAGACATTTCATCCCCATGTTAACACTGTGAAAGTCGTCACCAGTTTTTTTATAAAAATGGACTTAAGTGATAGAAATGGAGTTAATAGAAATGGAGTTAAGTGAGCCACCGACAGATTTCGCTGGTGTTAACTTCTGATTTCTGTTGAACGTGCGGAGTTTACTTATAAACTTAAAGTTTACTTACTTAAAGTTAAACTGATAGGAGGTCTCTTTAGGAGATCTTATTAGCTATAGCATCTTTAATGTTACGTCAACTATCTCTGTAAGAAAAAATAAGGTGAGAAATAGAATTGTAGGCAGGAGACACTTAAGACACAACAAACAATCTGTGACTGATTCACTGAACTACCTACGTTCTTTTAAAATAAAAAAATGGGCGACAGCTGGTCCATATAGTTGGGATGTCTACTTCAGTCAATACTTGTTCCCAGTAGGCCTATAAAAAAGGCGACATACTGACATAAGTAATATATGATAAGTAATATTTACAATAATTTTTTCAAACTGTGTTTTAGTATGCTAACTACGGTACTGGGAAATTTGTTACAGAACGGAACTGGAACATTAATATCCTATAGTCGCCCAGACGTGGAAGGGCCAAAGTTGAGCGAGTACGTCAAGTGCAACGTTAGTGATGTTCCAGGGCTAACTTCAGTGCTGGCAGATGCTCTTGGGAAAAAAGGATCAGTAAAAAAACAACGGTTTTTATACCTTGTTGGTCAAACACGAATTCACATAGACAGAGTTGAAGAATTGGGTGATTTTATGGAACTAGAGGTAGGTAAGATATAAGTAGTACATACTTGTCTGGGTAGCTGAGTGGTTATAGTGCTCGCCTCCAAATCTGAAGGTCGCTGGTTAAAATCCAAGCAAGATCGTTTCCAGACCCAGATACCATTCATTGGGCTATAAATTAATGATGCTCTCTAACAAATAGGTCGACGTTAGATAGTAAGAAGACTAGGGTTTGGACTGTTCCCTTTCAAAACGTAAAAAATGCCACTGGCGTAAAACATACAAAAATAAAGTTTTGTGCTTTTGGCTATGATATCTTCCTATAGTTGTCTTCAATTTATATTGTATCCTTGATTCATAGGAAAAAGATACAAACAGGTTGAATAAAACTTGACTAAAAGTTTTTTTTATAACTAGTGGTCATTGCAATATAACTTTCTAAAATAAAATCTCAAGTATAGCTGAGATACGTTGCATATGCATTAAAAGTTGGATTTTTTTCCAACAGTTACCAAATAAAGGTTTTGGTAGTCATATAACCTTCTTCAGGCCTACTGTTGTAGGTAGGCCTACCTAGAAGACAGTTGACACATAGACATGGCTAGAGATAGCATTGTTAGTCAGCTTGCAAGTTCATCTGTTGCTAATATAGATATGGTGTCTCTAGCCAGAGATAACTTTGTTAGTCTGCTAGCAAGTTCATGTTGTTGTACAGGTGATGTTGAAGGAAGGTCAGAGTGCAAAGGAGGGAGAGGCCATTGCTGCTAATCTGATGACACAACTTGGAGTCTCTGAGTGTGACTTGTTGTCTGGTGTTAATATACATATGGTGTCTCTAGCTAGAGATAACTTTGTTAGTCAGCTTGCAAGTTCATGTTGTTGTACAGGTGATGTTGAAGGAAGGTCAGAGTGCAAAGGAGGGAGAGGCCATTGCTGCTAATCTGATGACACAACTTGGAGTCTCTGAGTGTGACTTGTTGTCTGGTGTTAATATACATATGGTGTCTCTAGCTAGAGATAACTTTGTTAGTCAGCTTGCAAGTTCATGTTGTTGTACAGGTGATGTTGAAGGAAGGTCAGAGTGCAAAGGAGGGAGAGGCCATTGCTGCTAATCTGATGACACAACTTGGAGTCTCTGAGTGTGACTTGTTGTCTGGTGTTAATATACATATGGTGTCTCTAGCTAGAGATAACTTTGTTAGTCAGCTTGCAAGTTCATGTTGTTGTACAGGTGATGTTGAAGGAAGGTCAGAGTGCAAAGGAGGGAGAGGCCATTGCTGCTAATCTGATGACACAACTTGGAGTCTCTGAGTGTGACTTGTTGTCTGGTGTTAATATACATATGGTGTCTCTAGCTAGAGATAACTTTGTTAGTCAGCTTGCAAGTTCATGTTGTTGTACAGGTGATGTTAAAAGAAGGTCAGAGTGCAGAGGAGGGAGAGGCCATTGCTGCTAATCTGATGACACAACTTGGAGTCTCTGAGAGTGACTTGCTGTCTGGAGCTTACATGGATATTTTGCCTAAATCCTCATAGCAAAAGGTAAACACATATACTTATCCTATCTATCTATATATTAATAGGCAAGCATGTTTCTTTAAAACCTTTTTTCTCAGCTCGTGTGAATCGTAGGGAAAATCTACGCATACCGTTGGAAAGCTATTTTCCTGTAGGTGTGCAGAATCCCTTTATAAATTTAAATAGGCTCAAAGATAAGCACAAAAAATGAGTTTAAAAATTTGAAAAAATTAACATGGATCTTATGCGTTGCTATGCTGGTTACGAAATAACAACGAAATATAAACAGAAAATCAAAACAAATGGAGGAAACTCCAATCACATGTTTTATTTACAGTGTGGGGTGAAAATAGATAAGTGAGTACATTACATATTTTTGGTCGAGTTTCGACCACTGGACGACCTCTCGTAATTAATAATTTGGCAAACATGTATAATTGACTCTTTGAACACCTTCCTTCAGTGATATAATTATGCCTATTAAGATTATGTTTTTCCTCATCCCATGAACTGAAAATCCCATAAGAATTGTCAGTGGTGTGGACACACACAGGAAGGAAATGCAAAAGTTGTAAAATACATGATTTGTGGTGCAGATTTTTAAACTCCTCTTGAATTGCTCACCAAAGGTGCTCATCAAAGGAAACAGGGTTCAATCTCCCGGCCACGGAGACAACTCATTTTAGATCTTAAATGGTCCTCTCATTGTACAGACCTGTCTCCCGTTGAACTACACAGATAAAAAAAAAAAACCCAACCATAGAAGTTCTAAACTTGACCCTGATGCAGCTTAAGGCTTGCAGCTATTGTTTTAAAGATTCACTTACAAAAGAGAGCTGTGAGTGAAAGTGTGGTTATACTTTTCTACCCGAAGAACAAAAAAATGTGGTCTTTAGCAAAAAATCAACAAAATATTTTCACTTTTTGGAAGCACTTTTGGCCTTAATGCAAAGAGGCCGTCTTAAAAGTAACTTGATTTCCGTACAGTATATGTAACAAGTCTTCAGAAAATGTCAAGAAACACTTAAAGTGGTTCATTTAAAACAACTGTTTAAAGACCTGCACACACCGAGCGATACTTTATCGCTGAAACGACACTAGAATTTTATCTGCGATAAGTGGGTGATAATATTGCAGCGAAAAGAGATGCTTCCACACCAGAGAGGGAAAAGAAACGTGCGGGAAAGTTAGTACACCTCAAGGGAACGTAGAGTGCGAGGGTTTGATCACTCTATAGACGTAAAAGTGTTGTGTTATAGCATAAACAATAGAATTAAATTAGACCGACAGCAGTGCTGCGGTTAGCATATATTCTGGCGTCCACCGCTAGGAGTGCAGTGTAGTATCGGTGCACACTGCTGCAGCGTCAAGCTCTAGCGAGCGTTGCCATGACAAGTTGGTAGTTGGAGCCAGGGTTGCCAACATCTGGAGAATTTTCCGGAATCCGGGAAGTAAGAGTTTTTCCTTTATTTTCCCATGTTTGAACATTTTTTGGGGATTTAAAAAAAAGACTTTACTGATAAAATTACGGGATCTCAGTATTTTTTACCCATATTAAAAAGTGGGTCTGATACGTTGGTAGCATTGGTTTGCAAGGGTGGTAGTGCTGGTAGCAGACGGTGAGTCGACGACGGCAGCAAGTCGACAAACACTGAGCATGCTCTAGCGGCACATCGTGGAACCTTCCTTTGACAGTCAAATTTATTCTATTTGTTTATGGTTATAGTTTTGTGTTTGTATACCGTACTGTGGCCTACTGTGTGTTTTACCATGACATCGTCTGATGAAGAAGAAGCGTTGCTGTAAGTGTTGAGTGCACAAATAGCCTGTTTAAATCCAGCTGGACAATGGTTTGTTTAAAATAGTATAAATTTGTTTTTTGTTTATTCTAATAAGTTTCAATAGTTACCTAAGAGTTCACTCCTAGTTTTTGTACATTATAAACTTATGTTTTTTTTTTCATTCCAATTCAATTATATTTTCTGTCAGTTTCCATTTTATCCAAAAAGTAACAAACATAATTAAAGATAAACATACTTCTTCAGTGGTGACCCCGACGTAAAAATTTCTTACCAAAATTTAGCAAAATTACAATACAATGTCTACTACTCAAGAAGGTAACTCCCTAGAACAAATTACTGTCAAGATTCCACAATTTTGGCCAGCAGATCCTGAGCTGTGGTTTGAGCAGGTTGAGACCCAATTCTGCTTGGCTCGGATCACATCTGATTAGTGATGTAAAATTCCCGGGAATTAATTATCGAGGAAATATTCCCAGGGAATATTGCCGGCAATATTCCCAAAATTCATAAATTCCCGGGAATTTATTTTTAATTACTAAGGTAGGTTTAAAAACTGTTACCTAATAGTTAAAAGCCATACTTATAAGGTTAAATCAACCACAAAAACTGAAATATATTATAATACAAAGTTTTAATTGAAATAAATAACTGGGAATTTATAATTTTATAAGCTAAATTGCTCAAATCGGTCACTGTGGTAGTTATCTGTTCAAAAAATGTTGATTTGATACAAGTAGTATAACTTACCTGTCGCTCGAATTCGAGGAATTGCTAAGTATTACAGGCGTTATTTTAAAACAAATAACAGTCATAATTTCTGATGACTAGATTCGACTCAAAGATTATGGAAATACTCAAGATCTACATAACAGATCGATATAATAAACATTTCTTGTAAATATCTTATAATTTTTCTGCTGATCTTGTTTTTTAGTTTTTTCTACAACTAGCCTTACTCATAGCCACATTAGGTTGTCCATAATAACGGTTATAAATTCTTCACAAAAGGATTATTTCTATAGTTCTTATCCTTGGTGGTGTTTTATGACTTTCCTATGTTTCCATAGTTTGCAATTTGGCTCTTTCAATTATTACTAAGAAATGCAGAACAGTGTTAATTCAGTTTTCTTTTAGCGAATTTCCCTATAGGGAAGTAGCTATTACCGTAGGTGGCACGGTGAAACCTGGAGCCGGGACCGATATACTTTTTCATTTTGATGTCCCTAGAGGCCAAAAACACTATTCGTTCAATTTTATATATATATATATATATATATATAGGCCTATATATATATGTCCGTAAATGGCATATATCCATGGCGTATATATGGCAGACATATATATATATATATATACACACAGACATATATATAGGTCCGTGAACGCGATAACTTTGAGTAATTTTTTCCCGATTTAAATGAAATTTGGTTTGAAGATGTATGGCGGGATAAACTTGAATGAGTTCGCGAACCAACATGATCGGACCACGGGAACAGGGTTTTACGGGGGTAAAATGGTTTTTCTCATTTTTGACCCTCAAAACACAACATTTCCCAATTTACCTCTAGACCATTTTAAAGAGCTTAAAAAAAAAAAATTATTTAGTATACCAAAGTATTTTTGCACGGTTATTGGTTACGGAGAAAATTTAAAAAATTGTAAATTTTAAATCCATGTTATTCTTATGGAGAATATTGTAAAATGTTGTAACTTGATTTTATAATATACTACCTACTAATCTTTTACTAAAACCCACACTTTATTAGCCTCCCTGTAGCAGCAAACCTAGGTACTCGTTAAACCTAATGTTATTTAAATTACTAGTAAATATCCAGGAAATAAAAATATTATTTGAAATTTTTTTTTTTTATTTAACATATTAAACCAAGACTACATATTAAAAACAAAAAGGTTTGATAGGAAATACTTAAATGGCATATTTTCTTTCCGTATTATTTTTTTTTTAGTTTCCTAGTCACTGTCACTTTCTATGTCCATTAATTTCCTTCGTCCATCTCGTCATCTACATCTCCAAATCCACAAAAATTGTCTTCATTGTTACTTGACAAGTCAATCTCATCTTCTTCCCCTTCTTCGATCTCAAGGAAGTCTTCATTTCCTTCCTGTCCTCCTATTTCCTCTGGGTTGCCTTCTGCTTGCTTACTCTCTCTTGGAGGTTGAGCATTCATGAGTTTTTAGATGTAAGAAAGAAATGTCAGTTTTGCTACTCGCTCAGATGAAAGTCTGTTTCTTTTCTTTGGATACAATAATCCATTCAGTTTCGTAAATTCCAACTTGTTTTTACAAGAAATTCATGCATGGAATGACAACTCTTAAATTTAAATGTATGAATTTACTAAATGTAACATAGTTTTAAGGTTCTTTAACCGTAAATTAGTGTTAAAACGTTCAGAATTATAAAATTTATGATAAATTCCCAATTTTTGGGAATATTCCCAGTTCTGGGCCAAAGAAATATTCCCGGCAATATTCCCATTTTATAAGTTCCCTCCCACTGGGAATATTCCCTCCCCACATCACTACATCTGATGGAACAAAATTGTTTATGTTTGTGGAAACCTGGTGCTAAATACGCTGCTGAAGTGAGAGACATCCTCACAAGACCACCAACCGAGGGAAAATACGAAAAACTAAAAGCAGAATTGATACAACGCCTAAGCTCTTCACAGGAACAGAAGACCAGACGTCTCCTAGAACATGAAGAGATGGGAGATCGAAAGCCCTCACAGTTCCTCAGACATCTTCACGCTTTGGCTGGTACCATTGTGCTTGACACTGTGCTGAAGAAACCTCTGTGGTTGAGTCGGCTCCCCTCATCCACTCAAGCCATTTTAGCAACACAAAAGTCATCTGAGCTTGATGCACTTGCCGAGTTGGCTGACACCGTGCTTGAAATTAGCCCGCGTCATCAAGTTATAGAAGCAGCTGTCCCTTCTAACACTTCCAACTCTATGGAAGCAATGATGGTTTGACTGACGATCCTGATTACATCTAAAAAGATCACACTCCAAGAGGACGATGGATGTGCATCAAATAAGACAGGAAGCAAAAAATCTAGCACATAACACGTAACACTGTGGTGAGTGCACAAATAGTCTGTTTTTGTTTTTGTAAGGCACTTGATACACTGTGTTATTAGCCATGGTAGAAGACGAATGAGCAAGTAAAATGTGGGTACAAATGGGGTATGCAATTTGGTGA